GATATTCGTCGGCCTCGACGCTGCTGCAGACAGCGTGGACCACTGGCGCCCCGCGGCTCGTCCCTGCGGCGATCACGTACTTTGCAACCCTCACCACACACCCCGAGACGCTTCTCCACAAGGCAGGTTTGCTCGACAGGGTCGCTGCTCCGGCATGTGCTCCGCGCCATCTTCTTGCGTTTGATGCGCGCCTCGACGCTGGCGACTCGCGCGCCCCGAGCGTCGCCTTGCCCAAGGCGCTGTACGCCCACCACGATTTGGGGGCCGCTGTGCACCGCGCCCTCGTCGACCGCGCGGCTACAGCGCTCGACGACTACCACGCGGCTCTCTGCACGGACTTTTTGGCGACGGCCTTTCAGACGCTCGATCGGTACCGGTCCGAGCCCTATTTGCAAGCGCACATTGGTATCATGGAGACCACGGCGGCCCGGATCGCCGCGTACGTCCGACTGCTCGATGCAATGCGAGGTGATGATTCGCACTATATGTGCTAGGCTGGGCTTGGACGACGAGGCGCACTTGGCGCCACTGGCGTCCCTCAGCACCTTTGCCGCGACACTGGAAAAGGAGCAGCGCGCCGTTGCCGGCTTCTTGGCCCGCGCCCCGTTGCCCGTGCCTCTCGACCTCCCGTGTCCCATGCGTACGTTCGCGTAGGTGTTGCATGCAATCGATACTACGTGGGGTACGGTGCTGTGTAGCCGAGAAGGAGTCGACGCCGCTCAAGACGCGCTTGGACGCGGTGAGCGGCTGTTTTGAGTGCAAGCAAGCGCTCCACAGTGACGCGATCGTCGAGTGCCGAACGTGCCACCACAAGTACCATCTTGCGTACGTTGCCTGTACCGTGACGACACCATGTGCATGCCATGCTGTAGCTGCTTGTACTTGCCGTCAACGTTCCGCGATCCGTCTCGGCGCTACGTCTGCCCCCACTGCTTGTAAATACGATGCAATACCATAGACGACCGAACCGCCAGTTTATGGCATTACGTCGCGACGTGCTCGAGGACCGCAGCGAGGAGCGACGGGTCTTGAATGTCGCACGCTGCAAACGCGCGCTCGATGCGGGTTGCGGTCCGTGGCCCATGCTACGCACGTCATCGTTCAAAACAGACAATGTGTCTTTGAATCAAGCGTACTTGGGCTGCGACGTGGAGCACACGCGTCGCGAGAATGCTGAGCTCGGGCGCGTCGTCGTTGGGAATGCAGAGGCGCGCGAGGTGTTCGTAGAGGTGCAGCGACTGCGTCATGGCACTGATACTGTCCTACCCAAGACGATGACATTATGTCTCTTTCTAGTGAGACACGCATGTACTTCGAGCAGCTGGAGGCGCTGGAGCGCAGCGAGGACGAGGCCCGGACGCATTTGCTGGGCGAGGAGCGTCGTGAGCGCGGGAATTGCACGCAGCGCAAAGACGCGAAGCAGCATCTCCGTGTCGTCGAGCAAGAGCGTCACGCTCGGGAGCAGCCCATCGGGCGACTCGGCCATGTAGTTGAGTGCCTGCGCTGCGTTTGCCGTGGCCACCGGCTCGCGCAAGCAGGCCACGAGCGGCGCGACGGCGACGGCAAGTAGCTTGGGCTTAGCCTCTTCGGCGGTCGCGAGCGCCATGAGGGTACCCGCGAGGCAGCGCTGGAGGTCGGGCTTGTCCTTGCACGGGATCGCGCCTGCTTGGAGCGCGACAAGGACCTTGGTGCAGAGCTCGACAGCGTTCGAGCCGATCGCTTCAACTTTGCCATAGTTCTAGGCAATAGAACCTACGAGTCCAATGCCATTCATAAAGACGCGTACGTGAGTCCCGAGGTTCCAGAGCGTCATAATGGCGCTGCGGAGCACCGGAAGCTCGTAGTGCAGCGGCTTCTTGATGACGCGCAGCAGCGCCGGCACAATGTGGTACGTGGTGCAGACCTCGGCGCCGTTCGCAGCCTTGGTCAAGTTGGCCAACGTATGGAAGAGGAGGTCGGTGGCGCGCGGCGACAAGACCGAGCTGCTCTCGTCGGACGCCATGGCGACGAGCCTCTCGGGCATGTAGGCGCGCCCGAGGACGATGGCAATGCCTTCTTTCGCGCTCGTGAGGTTGACGAGGGCGTGCAGGGCCGCCTCGACGCAACGCTCGTCGTCGTCTTCGCTCAAGAGGTGGTTCAAGTTGAAGAGCAGCGTCGGGTCGGCGTGCAGCGCCATGGCGCCCTCAAAGTCCCATGCGAGCGCTACGCACAACGTGCTGTTTGATTTCGCTCGAAAGAGAAGAGGCACGTGCCCGCGACGACGGTCGGCGGCGTGGGCCTTGACGCGCGGATTCGACTGCGTGAGGAGACGGCCAATGGACGGCACGACGCCGGCCGCAATGGCCTTGACCTTGTTCTCGGGCGACGAGAGAAGCTCGGCGAGCTGGCGCATGGCCTCGATGCGCGACGCGTCCTCGAGCGGCTCGTCGGGCGCCAAGAGGCAGCAAAAGCGCGCGATGTCGCCGCTGCCGTACGCGCGAGAGACCTCGTACGGGTCCTTCTCCTCGCGGAACCCGCTGCGGTACGGCAAGCGGTCGCTCAGGTGGTCGCTCACGCGGTGCATGCTGCGTCGGTTCGTGCTTCCGATCCGATCCAAAACGGTCTCCACCTTATTGTATCTTCCGCCAATATTGCCAACGCAGCAACACGAGTCAGGCCAGCCTCGTCGCGACCGACAGCGTTGCGTCGCTCGGCCATGCGTCGCCCTGATGGCTACATTGTACGACATCCACGCGTGACCAGAAAGGCCAGGTTAGGCACTGACGACAGCGTTAAGTAGGGCATCGCAGGCCGACCGCGCTGCGACGCCTACATCCCCACAGCCTCCTAGCGCAAAGCACCATGCTGTTTCTACCGGCGGGGCGCTCGCCTTTGGACGCAGCGAGTCCGACATGGCGAGTCCGCCATGGCCAAGTCGCAAAATCCAGCAAAATGCAGCAAAAAATCTTGTTTAATTCTCGCTGCATGCCGCAGGATGAAGGCGGCGCGAGGCGAGCGATCGCTTCGTGCGTTCTCACGCGTCCGGCGCGGTGTTGCCGCACCGATTGGCACGGCCAAGATTAGCCCGCGGATCGAAGCTCAACGATCTAATATTCTGTGATTGGTGAAAACGGTATCTTTTCGACCAATGAGCACGCGAATACCTGGCGAGTGACCTTTCACAATCCAATTCATCCAGACGTCGGCGGATGGCCGAGGCGTTTGAGAAGCAGGCGGTGTTCCGCCGCTTGGGCAGCAGCGTGCAGACGGCGGCCGAGGCCAAGGGCGCGCGGATCGTCATCGCCGCGAGCGGGACGACCGACATTGGCTCCGCGCGCTGCGCCGTCAACCAGGACACGTACATGGCGCTGGACGTCGGCGGCGGCAACGTCGTCCTCGGCGTCTTCGACGGCCATGGCAAGGAGACGGGCCATATTGCCGCCGAGGCTGCGAAAGCATTCTTCACGTCGCACTTTGAATCGCCGGAAGCTCTCGCGGCAATCGAGGCGCAGCCCGAAGCCGAGCTGCGCTCGCTCTTTGCCCAATGCCACGCCCACCTCTACAGTGTCTTCCAAGCGCACTACGCGACGCTCGGGCTCTGCACGCGCGACGACAGTCTCAACGGTCGATCGTTTCTCCTTCAACGGAAAGGCCCGTCGCAGCCGTACACTTGCGTACAAGGCGGGACGACGGCGACGCTAGCCATCTTGCTGCATGGCACGCGACTGCTCGTGGCCAACGTCGGCGACTCGTCCGCACTGCTTGCAGGTGCTGGCAGCGTCCGTATCACGCCACTGCATGCCCTCGCGGACGCACCCATCTACTGCCCCCACGCGCCGTCGGCATCGCCGAACCCGTGCGAGATCGAGAGCAGCAACAACAGCAACAACAACAACAACAGCGATACCCTGCACCATCTCATCTCGGGCGACCATTCGGCCGAGTCGCGCGTCGAGTTTGACCGCGTCATCACCAGCGACGTCCAGGGCCTGCAGTTCCTCTATGACGCGCCGTGCGTCACGAATCGGCTGGTGCGCGTGCCCATCTTTACCAAGAACAGTGCCGGCGACATCGTCAAGAGTGCTGGCGGCCGCTACTACAAGAACGTCCGCAACGAGTGGGCGTCCATGGTCGCCGCCCCGATCGACGCCGCGTTCGCCGACTGCCTCGCGTTCACGCGGTCGCTCGGCGACTTTCATCTGCACGCGCATGGCCTCTCGTGGCAGCCGGATGTGCTCGACATCTCGCTCTTTGACGACCCGACGAGTTGCAGTGACGTCGCGATCGTCTTGGCGACCGACGGCGTCTGGGACGTGTGGCACTACGACGAGCTCGCCCAGTTTGTGCTGCAGACCAAGGACGAAGGCGACGCGCCCGAGATTGACGCCAAGGCCCGCGCTCGCCGCCTCTTGCAAGAGAACCTCGCCAAAGCCCACACCATCTTTGGCGACCAAGCCGACAACATGACGGCCGTGCTGTGCTATCTCTCGCGCGCTTAAGAAGAAGCGATGCGATTCCGGTCGCATTCTTGCGACCGCTACGACCCGACATCGTACGACACTATCTGATTTTATGACCCTAACCCCTTAACAACAATTTGCGATTCAAAATTCATGGTAGCAAAGCTTGCGCTTCAGTAAGGACTCTAGCATCTAGCCCAGCACCGAGCACCGACACGAGGAGACGACTACTGAAGTGGCCTTTCTTGGGCTGTCGTCGTGGGCGCAAAAGAAGAAAACATCGTAAATCGAAGAGAAAGATATATGCAAAATGGGTCTAGGCGGTGAGCAGGACGATTACTGCGGCACGGCCGTCTTGACCGAGCCGTCGGCTTGGCCAAAGAAGGCCTTGGACGCCATGTGGCAGAAGAGACCGACTTCCACGACGCCCGGCAGCAGCTTGAGCGTCTGGTTGAGCGTCGCGGGGTCCTGGACGATGCCAAACTATTAAGTAAAGAAGCACATGAGTCCCCTTGTGTGAAAACTCCGACTTGGCGTACATGGGTATCGAGAATGAAGTTGCCGTTGTCCGTGATGACGGGACCAGCCTTGGCCTTGGCCATGCGCAGGACGGGCGACCCGCCGAGCTCCTTGAGCTTGTGCGTGAGGGGAACGTACGCGAGGGGCACGACTTCGACGGGGATGCCCTGGATCCACTGCTCGCCGAGGAACGTCGACTCCTTGCGGTAGTCGGCGACAATGACAAACTTCTTGGCGTTGAAGATGACGATCTTCTCCTGGAGATGGCAGCCACCGCCGCCCTTGATGCAGTTGAGCTGCGCGTCGACCTCGTCGGCGCCGTCAATCGCAATGTCAATGACCGGGTGCGAGTCAAAGTTGGTCAAGTTGAGGCCATGCTGCGCAATGAGCTACGACACCATAAATATAAGACGCATGGTATCGCGCAGACCTGCGACGCCTGGAACGACGACGGGATGCAAGAGATCTGGAGACCTTCTTCCTTGATGCGCTCGCCGAGGCGCTCGGCGGCGTAGACGACCGTCGAGCCTAGTACATGCCACCATGCGCTTCATTCTCACGGCAGGATCGACGGCGTACCGCTGCCAATGCCAACGACGTCGCCCGACTTGACAAACTCATCGACGGCGGCGCGGGCAGCCTGCAGTTAGCATGAGCCTGCACGCGCATGTGCATGTAGCCAATGTCGTCTTACCAGGCGCTTGGCATCTTCAACTCCGGACATGAGGATGGACTTGGCGAATTGCGGAATGAGGCGCATCGCGGAAATGCGACAGCAGTGCGATGCCCACCAACTGCGAATTTACTCAATTGTATTGCATGTTTGGTTTTTAATTACCTCTGAGATCGTATCGAGATGCTGTTGAAAATAAAAATACGACCGGGGTCGAATAAAAATGCAGCCAATCATGGACGGCGGTTAGAAAAGCAGCCAATCGTCGCACGGTCACAGCTACACGTGTGGGTAATGCTGGGTGAAATTCAAGTACACGGTGTTTTTTACGCGAGCACACGCGCAGCGGACCCGTGGGAAATGGCATTTCACACACCGTTGCTCCGATTGATGATGTCAACAGCATCAAATGCGTGGCCACGACGAGATCGCCACATCAACGGTATCTGCGGGGCGACGAAGCAACAAAAGAAGATTCGATCGTTTCTATTCGAATAGTATAGTACGTTTCTACAGCTTTCAATGGCGAATTACTCGTCGAACCAGTATAAATAAATGCGTTTACTCGCAGCCTCGTGTCATGTTGAAGTGGCTAGTTTGTCCACACCGTCGCCAAGATCCGGCTGAGAATGCAGCATGATCGGCACAACCCGTCGCCAATGGATTAATGCTATGTACTACGGTACGCACCTCGGGCTTCAAGAGAACGGTCAATGCATGGTTTGAAAGATTCGGTCTTTGGATCTGCGGAGCCCGAAGGGACAACGCGTAGGGAGCACCATTTACCGAGGCGAAGTGGGGCTGCACGACCCATTGCGCGGAACATGTAGGAGAACCCAAAACACCTACTAGTATGTGCGAGCTCAAGATCACATGAAAGCGGCTAAAATCTGCCAACGCAATCAATCACGTTCGTCCGAGCACGGAACACCTAACCCTGCATCGAGGGTTCGAATCCGGTCAGGACCACCATGGTTGTCGGCAAACTTCAGCTCCCCGCCCGCGATGGCAACGACGGTGCGTCGTCGTCAACAGTGACCGCAAGGCGCGGAGTGGCAGACACTGCGCCATTCACGCGCCCGAGCTACCCGCTTCGCCGCGCGCACAGTTGTCGCTGCGTCGTGTACTCGCGAGGTGTCTGCATTCGCCACGGCGGGCGCGTTTCCTGCGTCGTCAGATGCGAGCTAGAGTACTGTACATCCAATTGCATTTATGTACTCTTGGCGGCGAGGCCCTCGCGTGCAAGGGCAGATGTTGCTGGGTGCACGGGAAAAAAAGCATCGTTGCTGGACGCACACTCGACGGCAAACGTCAAAAGGCCGCTGCAGTACTTTCAAGGCGACATTAATGACGCATCGGATGTCTCGTGCAAGGACGAGTGGCCGCCATTTTGGACACTCTCATTTACCTTGAATCGAATATCAGGATGTTTGTTTTGATTCGCCTGACGACGCGTCGTCAGCACGACTTGTGCGATACTGCAGAGTGGGCATTTTTTTCTCTGGATGTGCATGTGAATTTCTGGCGCGAAACCAAATCTCCAGAAACGATATGACAGTGTCCCAGAGTATCTTCTACCATTGTCGTGTTAAGATATATAAAGCCACTCCTGAAGACCCGAATGATGCTCGACGCGGTCACCAACGGACTATACTATGTGCTCAGGCTAATGCAACTGAGGCTCCAGACGGAGAATGATCTCGGCCACAGTAGGGCGAGCGCTTGGCTCGGCAGCCATGCACGCGATCGCAAGGTCCCGATACCACGCGGGGCAGTCGTCTCGCAGTGCAGGGCGACGACCACCCTGGACGTCTTTCCAGAGCGCAAACTGGCTCACGTAGTCGCCGTCACTGTACGGCACGTCGCCCGTATTCAGCTCCGCGAGGAGAACGCCAAAGGCGTAGACATCGACGGGAAATGAAACCTCGGTCGTGCTGTCGAACGCCGTGAGCTCGGGTGCCATGTACTGCGGTGTGCCGATGGTCTTGCGCACGTGCTTTGGGTCGCAACACAAGTCCAAGTCGGCGAGCTTGGCGCGGCCGAAATGGTCGACAAAGACGTTTCCGGGCTTGAGGTTGCAGTGGACGAGCGATTGGCCGTGCACGTAGGCGAGGCCATGTGCGATGTCGAGCGCCACTTGTATTTTCTTGCGCTCGTCGAGCAAGCTCGAGTCGAGTGCGCTTCGAAGGGTGCCCTCCATGGACTCGAAGATGAGCTGTACGCTCGCGGTCGTTGCATCGATGATCCCGTCCAGGAGCTCAATGACGTACGGCGACTTAAAGCTACCGCGTATCTCAGTAGTGACTAGGCATATTTGTCGATGAATATACCTGGAATGCAGACGGAGGTCGGTCCACACGGAAGGGTCGGTCGTGCGAATCGACTTGAGAATGACGTCACGACCGTTGAATTGCCCTCGAAACCACTGGCTGCTGGTGTCGACAGCAAATGGCAGTTGGTCGATCGTCACGGACTTGGTCTACGAGTTCAAGCTCAATATGTGTGAATAGAGAAAGCGCGCTAGTAGCTTGTAAAGCGACCCTTGGTAGAAACAGACCTGGGGGCTTGTGGGTGGGCTGGCTCCAGTGTCGGTCGATGCTGCGAGGTTCCTCTCCGTGTCCTGCGAGTGCACATGGTAGCATGAGCTCACGTTTTCGGCCTCCTGGATTCGCACTATACCTTGGAAGAAGGGTACATTCTTCGCACTGCTGCAAACGCAAAAATGTGAAATGAGCCACCGACTATCCACCCGTGACAGAAAGTATCAACTTGATAGCATTGATGGGTTAAGAACCAAGTCGACTAATCAGTGAGCCACTTAACAGATCCTGCGGACCATCGGATGGCATGTGGTTTTCCTACATGTAGTACCATATACCGGTAGTGCGGCGGTCAAAAATGGATAGAACAATGTCTATGTGGTCATCAGTCCTTGCCGCCATCGACGAGGCAACGCGCTAAACTACTTCTGACGTGTTCTACCTACATTCTAGAACTCTACACTTTGCCTTTATACATGATGTGGTTAATACAACGCTACTGGTAAACTGAAGTGTAGATTTGCATCTACTGCAACTTTGCCTTGAGCGTGTCAATGATCGTCGACACCGTGGGGCGGTCGCCTGGAAGCGTCGCCATGCAGTTGGCCGCTAGCTCCCGAAACCATGGACGGCAATCGTCACGGAGCTCGGGGCGCAGACCGCCTCGGACTTGAGCCCAAAGCGCGTAGGGGCTATCGTAATCAACGTTCACATACGGTACCTCGCCCGTGTTGGCATCGAGCTCGGTGAGGAGGATGCCAAATGCATAGACGTCCGACGCCTCCGAGGGTGCGGCGGCTGGGTAGCCCGTGAGCTCGGGTGCCATGTACTGCGGCGTGCCTTCTATTTTCGCGTCGCCGCGCGTGCTCTGCTGGCTAATGCCAAAGTCGGCGAGCTTGGCGCGGCCGTTCTTGGTGACAAGCACGTTTTCCGGCTTGAGGTCGCAGTACAGAATCTGCTTCTCGTGCAGGTAGGCGACGCCTTGGATGACATCAAGCGCGATGCGGACCTTCTCAGCCAGCGAGAGCTTCTTGTTCTTTTGTCCGAGGCGCTCGCGCAAATTCATGGCCATGAGCTCGAGAACGAACGAGACGCGCCTCTCGTCGAGGTTGATGTCGACGTGGATGAGCTTGACAATGTACTCGGACTGGAGACTAGGACCCAACATAGGGATCGTTCAGGATATGAAAATGAGTAGAAGTACCTCGAGAGAAATCGGATTTCGGTCCAAATCGACGAGTCGTACACCTGATTAAACACCTTGACGGCCACGTCGAGACCTTTGAACGCGCCCCGGTACACGGTGCTTACGGCGCCAGTACCCAAGACATGGTTTTCGCGGGTAAGGACGTCGTTGCGCTGGAGCATGGCCACAATCTCCTTGTAGTTGCGCTTGACGGCAATCGTAAGGGGCGTGTTGTTCTACACACTCCATACTGTCGGAACCCGTCGTTGAACAAGTTGAGAGTACGTACATCCAGGTCCGGCAACGACGGATCGGCGCCATGGTCGACCAAGACTTGCACGATGTCCGCTGCGCGCATGCCCACGGCAACCAGAAGCGGCGTTTCTTGACTCTATCAACACCCATGAGCTCGCGTGGTTTTATAAGCAGTCGTTGTACCCCGTGAGTGGTCTGGTTGACGTTGATGCCGTCTCGACCGAGCAGGAACTGAAGCGCAGGCAGGTCGCAGCGCACGACGGCGTTGTACAAGAGGCCCTCGCCGTCCTGTGGTCATCAAATACGATGTAAGTCGACGGCTGTAAGCAGGCAGCACAAGTGACAACCTCGTTCGTGATGGCCACGTCGATACCACGCGCGAAGAAGAACTCGGCGGCGTCAAAATTGCCGCGCTGGATCGCCTCGAAGACGCACGGCTGGCCCTAATGGCATCCAAGGAAGATGAGAATCGTCGGTTCTAATGCCGTGTCGTCGTACGGGCACGAGGTCGCACATGTCGGGCTTGATGCCGCTCTCAGTGCGATCGGGATGCGTGAGGCACTCGAGGAACGCGACTGTGTACGGTGGCTCGACCCATCGCATCGTCAAGGTCGGCAGCGTCGTGCTACGGCGCGAGCATTTAGACACATTTGCCACGAAGCGTTGTTGATAAGCACGTACGCGTCCTAGAGGCACAGGTCGTCGTGAGGCGCCGAGTCGGTGCACGTACAAGACATACCTGGCTGCACACTTCGGTAATGTCAAATCGGGTGAGCAGAATAAGGTCCAGAATCTTGAGCTGGGCTTGGCAGAGTTTCTCGACCATGATGTCTTTGGCCGCGTCGTCGAGGGCCGTGTCATTCTCAATGGCGTGGCGCCCCTTCTGGAAGCCGATGAGCGTTGCGTGCACGAGCGTGTGCGTGTACTCGTTCGTTCGCTTCGCCTACGAAGAGCATACGTCATCTTGGCTTGCATGTGGCATGCGCTTCGAACCGGATCGGCGATGTTGACATTGCCGTAGGCTCCGTCTACCCACGTCGACAAGTAGGCGTGGACGCCGGCGTAGTCGCTGCGCTCGGCGGCATCCATCGCGCTTCTCTACACGCACGCGTCAGCCCCGCCAAGAACGATCGTTCTACCTCGGCGGGTGTGATCTCGCGGGCCATCGGGGTCGGCCTCCAAATGGCAAATGACTCGCATCCTGCCAGCATGATTTATGGGGCAACTTCAACAAGCCGTGCTGTCTCGTATGTGTTTTGACAGGTTTACGTCGTATCGGGATAGGTACGGTCCGCGAGGTCGTGCAACAGGTGTCTCGCAGTGTACCAAAAGAGAGAGGTGTTGGTGCTATATCATTTTTGTGGTCAGTGAGACGCACTGACGCGATCGCATTGCGCCACAAGCCAATCGACCATGCGCGCTGTCAAGGCGCTCGACTCGTTGGCTTTGGACGGCGCACCCTACATTGATCCGCGATGGCCGCAGTGCCGTGACGTATTTGTTTTCACAGGTTTACGTCCTCTATGGATAGCTAGGGTCTGCCAGACTTGTAAACTTTGTTTTGCAGTGTATCGAAAGAGAAAGGTTTGGCAGGTGAGTAAAATTATCAAAATTTGATACTTTTACTCACCTATAATTCATGTATACTAGTACCAAACCTTGACATTTAATGTCAAGTGGGCGCACTGACGCCACGAAGGATCCATCACTTTGCGCCACAAGCCAATCGACCATGCGCCCGGAAGAGGTGACCGATGCAGCTGTGCGCGCTATCAAGGCTCTCGACTCGGTGGCGGTAGCAAAGCTGTTGAAGGCGCACCCTGCATTGATCCGCGAAGGCCGCAGCGAGGTCGGCACGCCACATCGATCGATCGTCCGCTAAAGACACGGCGTAGGAAGGGCACACGCTTCTCGAGGTCGCGCTGCACTGGATCGTCGCGCACGCCACCGTCTCGAACGAAGCCCTCGTCGTCCTCAAGACGCTCTTGCAGCACAACCCGGACGTCAATACCTCGCTCGTGCGACCTGACGATCTTGACGGCGCCTTCATCGATGCACTACTGATTAGGACGGACGCTCGCCATTGCACCTCGCGTGCTTCGTCCAACACCATGAGATTGTCAAAGCGCTTTTACGAAAAGGCGCCAACGTCAACGCCCGCTTCAAGTACCGTCGCGACGACGTGGCGTGGCGACATAACGTGTTTGCGTAGCGGCGAAACCCCGCTGCACATTGCGTGCAAGCTCGGCGCGATCGAGAGTGTGCGGCTTCTCACGGAAAAGAACGGCCTCGAACTCGACGCAGCCGACATGGTACTCGCGGTAGCACGTGCGGGATGACTCATGGGTGCGGAGTAGCATGGCCTCACGCCGCTACACTACGCAGTCGCGACATGCAACAAGGAGATCATCCACACGCTTCTCACGTGCCGTGCCACCGTCGACGCCGCCGACGTGGTAGACTTTTGCGATTTTGAACCGGGGCATGCGAGCATGCGGTACATAGACCGGGTTGACGCCGCTCGCCGCAGTCATCTATGCGCTGCGCGCCGACCTCGTCCAGGTGCTCGTCGAACACGGCGCCGATGTCTTCCAACCCTGCGGTGTACGCTTCCACGCCCGAGAAAAAATGGCGATTGATTGTTTCTCGTAGGGCCTCTCGCCCACTGATTTTGCCCAGCACGGTATGTCATCTGCAAGAGACTCAGAAGCGAAGCAGGCCATGACTCACCATACGATGTGCAGTGTACACGGAGCGAGCCAAGGACGTCGCCAACAGTGCCCTCGAGACAGAATGCAACCAAATTCGCTCGACTCTTGAGATTGCACCTCGCATGCGTGCGCTCCAGTCGGTCGCACGTCGCGACGCCAACCCTACCCTCGGTTCCGGTCGCTTCGGCACGTGCCAACGTGTGTCATACAAGGATCGGCCCGCAGTGGTCAAGACGCTCTTCACCACGTCGCCCAACTTGGTCGACGAGTTTCGCTCGCTCGCGAGGTACTATTCGACCGTGCTCTCACTTCGTCACATTTCCAATCCATTTGCGTAGCTGCAAGTCCGAGCACATTGTCAAGATGTACCATTGGGAGATCTTGCCGTCGAGCGGCCAGTGGCAGCTCTATCTCGAGGACATGGACGACGGCACCCTCCGCAGCCACTTGCACAAGCTGGTGCTAGCACCGGATGCGACAAAGCCTGGCAACATCAACAGTCTCAAGGTTGCTCTTTCCATCGCGCGAGGGCTCGAGGCCCTCCACACGCCTAAAAGAGCAGGGACGCAACGAGGTTGGTCCATGGTCCACGGCAACCTCAAGCTCGACAACGTGCACTTCAACACGAGAGGCCAAATCAAGCTCGCCGACTTTGGGCTTTGCCGCGTCGAGGCGGTGACCATGACGCACGTCAACCTCTTGACAGAGCACTACGTCGCCCCCGAGGTCTTCCGAGGCCACAAGATCTCGACGTCCGCCGACATTTATGCGTTCGGCGTCATCCTCGCCGAGATGAACATGCGCGCCCCGGCGCCGCGAGGCAGCGACGAGAAGGCGAGACGAGGCAAGTACGTGCCCGAGATGCGCCCCGACTGCGCCGCGTGGTACCGCGAGCTCGTCCAGTGGTGCGTCGCCGAAGAGCCGAAAGGCCGGCCCAAGATCGACGACGTCATCCAAATTCTAAACAACCCCTCGACCGAGACGATCAACGCAGTCAAGAAGGCCCGCGACGAGCAAAACAAAATTTCTACCAGCCTGCAAGCCGAGTCCAATTTGGAGATCACTTGCTGAAGCCAACATGAATAAGATCTGCATGCTATTCTCTGGTATGGCTTTCCAGGAAAGACGTGATGTCGCTTTGCAGGCATCGAGTGACTCGTTGTGGCGTATACAACACAAACATGTCTCGTCGGCTAAGCGTCGGCGCTCGGGGCAATTGGCACAAGCTGTGGCGTCCCTCTCGGTTTTCTCTATGGCAGCCACTACGTAATCGCTACACTCGTGTGAAAGGTGGACTCTGTAGAGAGCAAAGCAGGCAGGTGCGATCAGTTGCAGCCGTGGATTGGAGCCGACGACACCGCCACCCACGTTCACTTATACCACAGTTGCTCAACAGAGTAGCAAGTCCAGAGCGTCGTCGCATTTTCCGAGCCAAGAAGACAGAGTTGTTGATCACGTGACCATGTCACCACGCAACGGCTCGCGTGGGCTTGTCCTAAACAAAAAACAAGCGGGCTCTTCATCGTGCCGCAGTGCCTGGTAGGAAGACATGGGATGCCAAAAGATGCTTTTGGCTGCAGCGGGTGTTGCCGACGTGATGGTAATCGGTACCCACGGGCCAAACCCAGCGTCAACTGGGCACGTCGCAGTCGTCGTCCCTTCGAGATCTGGATTGTGGACCAGAGAAGGCGAGAGCGGCCATAAAACGTCGTCGCCACGGGTGGAGTCGAACACACATGATGGCAATCTGATCATTAGTCACAACTCGGTGCGCTCGCAATGGCACGTCAAACAGTGTCTAACCCGTTGTGCGTAGAAGACACGCGTTATAACACCCGTGGGGTCGTTTGCAGCGTCCCACTGTGCCCACGTCAAATGGCTACTAGTACAGTGTACACCTAACTACGCAGTTCCGCTTGTCTTCATTTTCGTTTTACGATGCAGAGCCACAACAACAACAACAACCACTGCGCGCTGGGCATGCAAGAGCGGCTCTCGGTCGTCTCGTCTTCCGTCGACAAGGCGTACTACATGACGAGGCCAAGACGCCCGGCGACCTCGAAGGCGGCGCGCTGCGCGAAGGCGGTGCCCCCGTTTACACGAGCCAGGAGGTGCTCGGTCTTCTCTCGCAGTACGTCGCCGTCGGCCTCATGCTCGGTGCACTGCCCAACATGACGTACCCCGTCTTTACCGGCTGCTTTCACATGACGGGCGCGCAGTACAACTCGGCCAAGACGCTCCTCTTCATCGGCTGGTCGCTCAAGGCGTTCATTGGCATGATCTCGGACTGCGTGCCCATTTACGGCTACCGGCGCAAGTCGTGGATGATGCTTGGCTGGTCCGGTGCGTTCATCTGCCTCCTCGTCCTTGCATCCATGAGCTTGGCGACCCGTACTACCGCGAGGCGGGCGTCGCCGGCATCGAGGCGAGTCTCCGCACGGCGGCCCAGAACGCGACCATCAACCTGGATGCGCCCGTCAAAGGCGGCGTCGTTGCGCTTCTCTTTGGTGTCGCGACCATCTCGTATGTGTTTGCAGACGTGCCCGCGGACGCGCTGGTCGTCGAGTATGCGCAGCGCGAGCCGATCGCCACGCGCGGCCGGATGCAGTCGCTGGTCTACACGACGCGCACCGTGTCATCGACGATTTCGACCGCGATCGCCGGCTTTTGCATGAACTCGCCCCGGTTTGCGGGCGATTTTTCGTGGGACTTTGGCGTCAACACCATGTACATGCTGCTCTGCATCCCGTGCTTTCTCATGGTGCCAACCACGTACTTTGTGATTCGCGACACCAAGACGGCGGCGGTGCCGTTTGGTCACTACTTGAGCCAGATCTGGGAGCTGCTCCAGAAGCGCGCCATGTGGCAGATCATGCTGTTCAACTTTTTCTACAACCTGTTTGGCGGCGGTCTCTCGTCGACGGCCGCGACGTACGTGCAGCTGCACTGGGCCAAGGTCGAAAACCTCAACAGCCAGATCATTGTCATCATTTCCAACTTTGTCCTGGCCGGCGTCATGGCCTCGATCGGCAAGTGGGGCACCAACTGGAACTGGCGCGTCGTTGTGGTCTCGACGACCTTGACGACGATCGCGATCGACTCGATCGTGCAATTTTGCACCTTTTTTGCCATTGTGCGCAACCAGTGGTTCTACCTTGGCGTCCCGTTGGCCGAGCAGCTGCCCCAAGGCGTCCTCTTCATCGTCACGACCTTTGTCATCGTCGAGCTCGCGGAAATCGGCAACGAAGGCGTCGTCTATGGCCTACTGACGACCGTCTCGAACCTTCCTGCGGCCGTCGGCCCCGTCCTCTCGAGCATCATCTGCGCCCGCTTCCAAGTCGACGAAGACTCGATCGTGAGCGATATGTTAGGCTGCTTGCTGAAAGGCAAATTGAAAACTGAATTACCAAGCACTTAAAGACCTTGTCTTGGAACGTCTGGACGAGACCTTGTCTTGGAACGTCTGGACGAGGGCGTCTGGGGCAAGGGTAGCTGGCTGGAGCCTTCGAGAGATTTCTAGAACTCCTTCCAGCAGGCTTGGCGTCGGCATCACCAAAAGGATCGTAAGTACGTCTTGGTGATGACGTCACACGACACATGGATGATGTTGTCGTGACACGATACGCCCGAGGTGCGCGTCCAGGTGACGTACACGTACCTCATTTACTACGCCGGGTTTCTCGTCGCGGCCATGACGTCGATCTTTCTGCCGACCCAGAAGGCGGCGCTCCACAACCTCCAGCGCCACGGCGGCAGCTACCCGATCGTCGGCGCGTGCGTTCTCGTCTTTGTCCTTGCCGCGCTTGTCTTTTCGATCACGGCCAGCGTGCTCTCGATGCTTCCGTCGACGTCGTGCATGGTGGTCGCGGGCGGCGGCGGCTGCGACCCGTAGATTGTGTTGGATCCAGTGTGGAATGCAGTTTTATGCAAAATGACGCTCTTGTCCACATGCTTGTCGCTCGTTTGCTTTTGTATCTTTGCTGCAATTCGATTGGTTAGCAGCAGCCAATCAGCGACCAAAAGCGGATCGGAGTCATCCACGCCAATATCCCGCGCTCGCGGCCTTCAAGTAGGGCTAGTAGATAGTACACTGTAGTCTGCGCATGGACTACGAAGAAGAAAGCATCGACTCATTGCGACTTGCGAGGGATCTCTCTGCAGGCGCAAAGAAAATGTGACGTCAACTTCCGACAAACCGCTTGACCGTGTAGCGATGGCATCGGGAGGATAGTTCGGACAGACATGCCACACGGCCGACATTGCTACGCTATAATTTTTCACCTAACATAGTCCCAGGGACGGTTCGCTGCGTCGCCCGTGTTGGATGATGCTCTTGTCGTTTCGCCGTATGGGTTGAGTGAGGTGTTGGAGGCTCCAACACCTTGAGGCCCGACGCACCTTGGTGTCGAAATATTGCTGCCACTACCGGAAGCTCACCACGTTGATCGTTCGATTGTTCAAATTCGTTTGCTCCGGCGCAGAATTCAGCGCATGCTACCACGTGTGCGCCAGGGAACACGACCTCTCCCGTTCAGCTACTACACCACCAAGTCCTGCACTCATGCCCCTCGATAATTACGTATGAAAGGGGCCGAAGCTGACAGCTGAAGTCTCTTGAGGCTTTGAGGCCGTCCGTGTCCAATGGTCCGTGTCGGGCAGCTGTGTCGGGCGAGAGCGAAATGCATTATATCAACCCGCCACCCACTTGGTGAGCGAGAACAGCACGGAAAACAACTGCCAGCCGACGACTGCTGTCTCGTTATGAAACGAGCGCTCTTCTGTCGTGGCCTTGACTGCGAGAGGCGCATCAAAGTGTTGGGCGATTATCGCCCATCTCGTCGCGGGAGGGTTAAATACATACTGGTAGAACTATTCTATCGGGTACGGACATTAGGACCGTTCGGGCAATGCGCTCGGTCGCAGCTGCGGGTATGAAGTCGCGATCGCGTTCTTGATTTGGTCGTACACAAATTCATTGCCAGCTTGATTGAGGTGGAGGCCGTCGCTAAGGACGGTCTTTTGCTTGCCTTGCAGTGGCGTCCAGAGATCGACGACAGGAATTTTCCACTTATCGCCCACTTGTTTGCACAGCGCCGCGTACGTGCCTGCGCGGTCGTTGCGGTGCAGTTGACCCATCGCCGAGTCGTCGTCCGAGACCGCCGGCGTCACAAAGAGGAATTGGGTCGCGGGAAAAGCTTCTCTGAGGCGCACCACCATGGCCTCGAGGTTGGCCGTGTACTTTTCCGGTGGCACGTAAAGCCCCGTGGCATTCGGAAGGGATGCATCGTTCGTGCCGAGCGCAATCGTGACGAGAATCGGCGGCCGGGCTTCCCACTCGCGGATCAGCGCCGGGATCTTTGGGCGCCAGTTCCTAAGGTCCCAAGCTCAAACCTCATACGGCAGTATTATTGTCATCGTACCCGGTAGACCAACCGGCCCGGCCGCGGTTGATAACGTCGGCGTGGCGAATGTAGTCGTGGGCCAGCGACGCCTGGAAGCCGTGCATGTGGACGTTGGCCGCATACTCGGTGATCGAGTCGCCGACCATGAGGATGACGGGCATGGACGACGTCGGGTATTTGCTCGCGAGGAGATAGATGATAATGCCGGTCATGGTCAAGAACACGGCAGCGAGGCAGCCTACAGTGGTGCTGTGAGTGCGTGCGATTTGGTGGGAAACCTGCGCATACCGAGAATGATTGCGCGGTGTCGCCGCGGCGGCGCTTCATCGGCCATCTCGAGCTCGTAGTCGCCGTCAATGGGCGACGTCACGCGGTCAAACTTCATGCTTGGGTCTTTCGTGTCAAGATTCAAAATGAAGCTCAAAGTGAAGCTCAAAGGCTGGCGCCGAGGATTCCAAATCAAACGACGCGAATTTGTCGCGCGAAACGAATCAACGCACCTTTTTCACATGTATTTTTCACGGGTTGCACATGCTGGAAATGTGGGTTGTTCAATGCCAACGCAGGCACGCCATGGTCGTCTCGCTTGTCGTGCAAGGTGGCATTAGCTTGCAGGGATATTGACACACGTCGCGTTGTGCGTGGCTCTACTACGGCAATTGCAAAGGGCAAAGAGCTAAAGAGCTAAAGAGCAAAGAGCGCGCTATCCTACGGTCTCCTTTCTCACATGCGACATGTCTTGAAATAGACGTGGCAAATGTGTAAAAGGTGGGATTCGAGATGCGCGCAAACAGACAGGCTACAGGGAACGCGATGGATTATGGCGGTGTGGTAAGCTGTGGTCGGCGTGATGACGGGGCGAGCGCTGTGCGTCATCGTTCTAGTCAAAGGTAACGAATCTCTGTAGATGCAACCATTATTGCACCCCAGCTCGACTCGAATCGCCTCACCAACAACGACCTTTCTTTCCGCGACGAGCTTGTTTCGCAAGCGTGTTGCGCTGGGCGAGATGCCAACACCTCGAGCCATGTTCTACGACCATCGTCCCCATCGAATGATGGACCTCTTGGTGCAAAGAGCTACCACACACGGTGTGCGACAAGGTGGTCAGCTGCGAGCGGCGATTGCGGTAGCGAGACTGTGGCGTGCAGCCCAACGACGTCTGGTGGCTTCGAGAGACCCGTCGTCAAGGCCGACCCGCTGTACTTTGTTGTAGTGCTTGTGCTCCATCCGTGCGTCAAGTTCGTGGCGTCAGCCAGGGAGAGGAAGACAAGAGCGGTGGCCGACGCATGTCATTGCCTGGTAGAGATGTAAGATCAACATCGCCCGTGCACCCCAAGTTGATGCAACGCGGGAGCGTGCCGAGAGCGTGCCGAGGTGATACTGCTTATCGACTGGCAGCGTGAGGACAGAGCTGCTTGGCTGGTGAGCCAACGATACGCCGCGAGACATAAAAAGCAAAGTCTTGATGTTAGGATATGGCTTGTTGACGCTGATGATCCACGACATCATCAAACACAGGGATCGAGCCCATCTGGATGGATCCAGCTGCCCATATTGTCGTCGCTGAATACCGCTGCAAGCGTACGGTCCCCGCCGACTGTTACAAGAACCACGCGTGGTTCCTCGATTCGTCGAGGCGACTCTCCTCAGCAAGCCAGCGGGCGGTTCGACCTATTTAACGTTGCATGTAAGTATGACTCGAGGCTAAACGATCAACACCAAAGGCTCCTCGTCCCTGGCAGCTCCACTGTACTGGTACCGGTCTACGAGTCGAGTAGCGTGTTGATGGCTGGAACAACTTGGGCTTGTACCCATATCCTAGAGGCAATTTGCCTGCCTCCATCGGACATCCGGTAAATTCGCCGCCATTATCCGGATAGCGTCGTGGCATTTGCATCGCTCGCCGGCCGCTGAACGATGGAGATCGAGCCTGTCTACTACTTCAAGACGATCCAGGCGGACGCCAAGCGCGTGGTCTTCGAGGTAGCGCCTCGCCGTCGTCGCCGCGTAGGCCTTAGTCATCCGCTGCTGCGTAGACGCTTGAGCATGCCCTGCGCGACCACGTCTACCACCCCGTGGACGCGCAAAAGTGGACGCAGTCGCTTCCGGCCGCCTGCCTCCAGCGGCTCCAGACGCTCGCGGACGGCGCCGCCGGCTTCAAGTTCGTCGTACACCTCGCGCTTCTGCAGAAGAAGAACGGCGGCGTGCACACGTCGTCGGCGTGCGCGTGGAACGCCGACACGGACGGTCAAGTCGTCGTCCGCTACGAGACGCCGACGCTGGTCGCTATCGCGACCGTCTACGCGCTCAGCCTCGCCTAGAACGCTCTGTTCCTACTACGGTGCCACCGCCCATGTGTCCATCTCATCCTATACACGAAGTCTACGATCGTTGTTACGTGGTCTTTACTGGCGCTGGAGTTTCGGCGGGACCTTGTTGAGGCGGTACGCCTGCAGCACATCGCCTTGCTTGAAGGGCACGTCGTCCTCGAATTGGAGGCCGCACTCTTGGCCCTTGGCACTCTCCGAGATCTTCTCCTGGTAATGCCGCATGCTCTCAAGCGACGCGCCGTCCATGACGACCTCGCCTTGTCGCAGCACGCGGAAGGTGCAGTCCGCATACAAGTTGCCGTCCGTCACGCGCACGCCGGCGACATTCGCCTTGGCCCGGCCCTTCGTGTTGATCGAGATGACTTGGAGCACTTCGGCGGCGCCGACGACTTCTTCGGCGACGACCGGCGTCATCTCCTTGGTCACGACCGCTTCAATGTCATCGACCAGTGCGTACACGACGTTGTGCGACCGAATATCAATCTTTCGACCTAGAGCATCAGTGTATCAGCAGAGACATTTCGACTTTAGACAGCGTACGCGTCGCATCCTTGTCGATCGAGCCCGGATGGCGCGTGTTGAAGGTAAAGATGGTCGCGCCGGTCCGCGCGGCCAGGTCGATATCGGACGTGGAGACGGGTCCGACGCCGCCGTGGATGCGCTTGAGCTCGCACTCGTCGTTGACGTCGTTGAGCTCTTGGACGAGGAGATCGATGGCGTCAATGACCCCGAGCGAGTTGGTCTTGAGGATCATCGGAATGATCTTCTTGACGTAGCCCTCGTCGTCGACCGTAAGGTTCTCGAGCCGCTTCTCCTCCGAGACGCGTTCTTGACGCTGGAGCTCGAGCTGCCGCGCCTTTTGCGGCGCGCGATCGGTACGTGGTCCTTCTTCTCGCCGTCGGCCATGTTGGCCGCGAGCTCCTTGAGCCGCACTTGCTCTTGGATGCGTGCGCGCTCCGTGACAATCTCCTTGGCCCGCTCCTCCGTCTCCACCGGTAGGATCGAGTCACCTGTCTTGGGCAGCTCTTTGAGACCCACCATGCGCACGGGCATACTCGGTGAGGCGGTTTTGACCTAATATAACACGTGGTTTGGACACGCAGGATTAGAGATTCCATTGCGTACGGGCTTGCCGTTTTCATCGACGAGCGACTTGATCTTGCCGTACTCGAGGCCGCAGACGACAAACTGGCCGACCGAGACGGTACCCCACGTCACCATCATGTCGACCGTGGTGCCCCACCTAGGGGTAGGGTATGAGACACGGCACGCTGGGACGGGATCGAGTACCCGCGCACGAGCGTGGCTTCGACGACAACCCCTTCACCCGGCGCGGTCGTGTCGGCGCGGAGGTCCATGAGCTCCGCCTGGAGCACAATGGCCTGCTTGAGTTCGTCCAAACCTACACGTATATTTTCGTTGCCGTCTACTTGGACGAAAATAAAACTCAAAAAGTTACATACCCTTGCCCGTTTTGCCAGAGACGCACACGAGCTGCGTGTCGTGCGCTTCAATGCCGTTGAACTCGAGTTCTTGCGTAATGCGCTCGATGACTTCGTCTTCCTGGTCTTCGAATCTACACAAAATGTCAATCGATCGGACGACACACATTCGAGTTCGCACCGGTCGCACTTGGTGATGGCAATGATCATGGGCAAATCGTGCTCTTTCGCGAGCTCCAGCACCTCTTTGGTCTGCGGGCGAATGCCGTCGTCGGCCGCGACGACGACCACGAGCACGTCCGTGAGGTGGCAGCCCTGCGCACGCATGTTGCTAAACGCGGCATGGCCTAGAAACAAAATCATCGTAAAAATGATCCCATTGCGGGATCGAAGCGCGTACCAGGCGTGTCGAAGAACGTGATGGGCGTCGGCGACTCGTCCATTGGCACCGTGAACGCGCCAATACTCTGCGTGATACCGCCGTGCTCCTTGGTCGTCGTGTTGCGCAGCGCGTCCAGAAGCGTTGTTTTGCCGTGGTCAACGTGGCCCATGACCGAGACCACAGGCGGGCGCACGGGAAAGCTGCTGCAGTCGTCTGGGATCTGCGTCCGCGTCAAGTCCACGAAACCCTGCATGAGGATCGGGATCATGCCCATCTCTTCGACCGCGAGCTCGGCGACTTCGGCGGAAATCTCTTCATTGCCGCATGAGCATCATATATAGAGATACGTAGAAACGATCGAGTCGGCCGTACCCGTATCGTCGTTGACGCGCTCGCCGAGGCTCTTGAGGACGCGCACGAGCTTGAAGGACTTGATGCACATGCGCTCGGCGAGGTCCGAGACTGTGATCGTGGTCGGAATCTCGACCTTGAGGTCCTTCAGGTGCTCGGCAATCATTTCACGCTTGCGCATCTGGTTGTTCTTGGAGTTGCGCGACCGCTGCGCCGAGTTCTGACGCTCCTGGAAGCGCCGGCGGTCGTTCCGAGGCCGCGACTTCCAGTCAATGTCGGGGAAGAGCGACGACTCCGAGTCAAAAAGACTCTTTTCAAACTGCAGCGCTTTGTGCGCAGCGGTGTGGGCATGCGCCTTCTTCTTTGGGTCCTGAAAGCTGTGCGAGTGCGGCGGGTTGTGGCGCCAGTCCTTGCGCGTCACGTGCTTCTCGACCGGCTTGGACGTCGGTAGCTTGGACGTCGGCAACTTGGACGTCGGTAGCTTGGGCACGGTGACCTTGAGGTCCGTGTTGCCAAAGAGGCGGAAGCGGCCCGGTTCACCGCTCTTGATCGGCGTCGGCTTTGTCTCGGTGCGCAGCATGCGCGCTGGCGACGCGACCGGCTTGGGCTCCTCGTACGCGACCCACTTTTTGAGCTCCTTGTCCCACGTCTGGCGCTGCTTCTTTTCCTTGACGAACGCGTCGGTCGACGCGGCGCCGGCCTTGGGCGCCATTGTCGCCGGCTTCTTCACGTGCGGCTTGCTCGGGAAGAGGTCGGTGCGCGGCTTGGGCGTCCAGTGCTTGCCGCCGCTGGGCGTACTGTGCGGCTTTGTGCTGAAGCTCATGGCATGGGCACGGCGCAGGATGTCACCGACGAGCGGTCGCAGTTGGGCGGCCATCGGAGCGAGGACTTCGGCAAACACCAACGAATGCAAAGGAGCACCCGCGCAAGGCCATTGGCTCGCGCATGGCCAATCCGACGCCGCCTTTTTTATTATTTTCGGTGGTTTTAATACCACATAGAAATATCAAGTGCGTGTATTATATTGTTTGTGCTCGACGGCCGCAATCCGTTTGGATGTTTCGGCATATGCCACATCAAAAAGCAAAAGTGGCATCCAACTCGATCCTCCAACAAGCTCCTGCAACGCGGCCATTAAGCAGGCGCTGTAGTACGACACACCTTTGGACAGCCATGAGCAGTACCAGAGAGGGAGTAGCCACCGAGGCCTTTACCACGCCTTGCAGCGATTGCACATGCGGCAGAGAACAGGCGGCCAATGCGTCGTTATGCTCACATGCCTTCGCGTGGGGTCCTCGAGGCCGAAAGCGTGTGGCACTAACTGGTCCTTGCATGTCATCTACCATGTCATTCTAGCGAAGTACGCAGCGATCAGTCGCATTGCAAAGGCTGCATTTTGGCAAGTGTACCTAGCAGTGCACTTGGCGATCTTCCATGTGAGGCCACGAGGTTTGTACGAGTTGCAGGAGCAGGCAGGAACAACCACGAAGCCTCAATTCTGACATGCACATATTGCCACATGCGCTGCTTTTCATACTGGAGGCGGCGTCTGCACCGACTGCCTGGGCAACGCCTGATCCCAGCAACACCATGGCATTATGTCGTCGATCTTCCTGTGCAATCGCGTCTCGTAGCTCTTCGACTGCCAAGCATGGCTCCTCTTCATATGCTGCGTGCATTCATCCAACCTCATGTGCGCGTGAACGTCGCGCCATGATGATTCGGATGATTCGGTTCAGTGGCAGATCGCGAATATAGAACGTGGCGCGACGAGGTGCCAGTTACGACTTCGGAAAGGCCAACGCGTGAGAAACCAACAGAACCAAGTCGGATATATGCTGCGCACAGTCACCGGTGCGACGCTCGTGCAGCTCGGGTGCGGCGTCGTCAACGGCTTCATCAGCGTCCTCGCGACCCTCGATACGGCTTTCTACGCCAACCCGCTCGACGGACGCACCTTGCATGCCTACTACGTGGCCATGGGCGTCTTTGCGCTCGGCGTCCTCCTCGTCGGCGTCGCCTACTCAAAGCTCTCACCATCGCGCTGGGTCGGGCTCGGCGCCGCCTTGGTCGCGTTAGGCTACGGCCTCACGGCCATTGGAGTCCACAC